TTATTATTGTAAGAAGAATTTCTACCAGAGGGTATTTATCATCTCTTTGATTCTTCAAACCTAATCCTGATTGTTTTAATTTCCTTTAAGTCCTCTTTTCTCCTCAACATTATGGATCTACTATTTTTTATTTTCCTTTAAAGCGATTATCAGCAAATCAGTGACTGTTCATTCAGATTTGTCACACAACTAAAAGTGGTTAAAAACTCTTAAATGAAACACATACTGGTGTCTGACAGGAGAACAGGAGACAACATCAGGGTACAGTTTGCTGCATGAATCTTTAGTTCTGCTGCCATCAAGTGGTCAGAAATAAAACAGTAATGATCATATTTTCCCAAAACCTCTCCTTTATGAATAAATAGTGTTGGACTGGTCAGCAGAAATGTATATGATTTTATGCTCCTATTTAAATATATGTTAGGTAAGAAGATGACTAAACCAGCAGAGACACTAGTCTTGTGAAGGTGGTTAAAAATGTGTCTAAATATAACATTGTGTAATATTTATCACTCACCGATAAAAGGCACACAATAATAATAATAATGTGCCTGTGTGTGTGGGCTAGCAAAATATTTCATGAAGTACCAGGCAGATGTGTACAGAGCCCGTCCAGTGACGTTGGATTAAAAAAAATTAATGTGTAGCCTCGAGATAATTTAATGCAGCTGTGTGTGTTTGTGAGTCAAATTATATAGGAATACACTCTTTTGTGTTTAGCTGTTCAAATGTACCTCACAATTGTTCAATCCAAACCTCCATGGTTTAATCTAAATGGTTCATTTTTAATAATACTAGTTTTTACGAGATGGCATTTATTGCCCTAAGTGTGTGTCGGAAACGTTTTATTTACCATGTTCCTGAACGCAACATTACTCTGACTCCATCAGCAGCAAATACACGGTTTGAGGAAAAGAGACAAATCATTTTGCAACAAAGAAGAACTCGTCTAGAGGACCTATTCAACTTTTTTCTTTTTTTAAAAGATTTTTCCACCTGGGTTATTGAGAATTACTTCATGCCTAACCTCAAGTGACTGAAGGATGTCATTCATTCATTCCTATATTAAAATGAAATTAAATGAATTATCCTGTGGACATGCATTAAGTATTTTTATCCAATGTCATTGGATGGTCTCCGTAGATTTGAATGAAACTTGCATTAAGCAGTGGCTCTACATCTACATCTGATTAACTTAAGGAGACAACCTAATTCAAGATGGCTGCCACAGCCAAATAACCTTTAAAATCCCTTAGTAGAACCTCATGAACATTAAAATATTGTTTTTGAGCAATTATGAGTTAAATATATACAGTATATATATATATAT